CTTCTACATGCCAGCACCCAGTTATGCCAGCACCATTTGTTGAAGATGCTTTCTTTATTCCATTGTATAGCGTTAGCTTCTTTCTCAAAAATCAGGTGTTCATAGGTGTGGGGGTTAATATTTATCAGGGTTTTCAACTGGATTCCATTGGTCTACCTATTTTTGTGCCAATATCAAGCTGTTTTCAGGACTTTAACTCTATAATAGAGCTTGAAATCAGGGATAGTGATGGTTCCAGAAGCTCTGTTATTATACAGGTTTGTTATGGCTATCCCAGGTCTTTTGTTTTTCCATATAAAGTTGAGAATAGTTTTTTCAAGGTATGTGAATAATTGTGCTGGGATTTTGATGGGGATTGTGCTAAATCTGTAGATTGCTTTTGGCAAAGTTGCCATTTTTACTGTGTTGATACTACCTATCCAAGAACATGGGAGATCCTTCCATTTTCTGGTATATTTTTTAATTTCTTTCTTTAAAGACTCAAAATTCTTATGATACAGGTCTTTCACTTTTTTGGTTAGTGTTACCCAAGGTATTTTATGTTGTTTGTGGCAATTGTAAAGGGTGATGTTTCTCTGCTTTCTTTCTCAGCACATTTATCATCCATATATATTAGGGCTACTACTTTTTTGAGTTAATCTTGTATCCTGCCAGTTTCCTGAAAGTGTTTGTCAGCTGTATGAGTTCCCTGGTAGAGTTTTTGGGTTCACTTATGTAGAGTATCATATCATCTGCAAACAGTGAAAGCTTGACTTTTTCCTTTCCAATTTGTATTCCCTTGATCTCCTTTTGTTGTTTTATTGCTCTAGCTAGAACTTCAAGGACAATATTGAAGAGATATTGAGAAAGTGGGCAGCCTTGTCTTGTTCCTCATTTTAGAGGAATAGCTTTAAGTTTCTCTCCAGTCAGTTTGATGTTGGCTGTTGGCTTACTGTATATTGATTTTATTATGTTCAGCTATGTTCCTGTTATTCCTGATCTCTCCAGGACCTTCATCATGAAGGGGTGTTGTATTTTGTCAAAGCCTTTTTCAGCATCTAGTGAGATGATTTTTTTTCTTCAATTGGTTTATATGTTGGATTACATTGATAGATTTTCTAATGTTGAACCAACCCTGTATTATGGGGATGAAGCCTACGTGATCATGGTGGATGATTTGTCTGATATGTTCTTGGATTCGGTTTGCCAGTATTTTATTGAGTATTTTTGCATCAATGTTCATGAAGGATCTTGGTCTGTAGTTCTCTTTCTTAGTTGTGTCTTTGTGTGGCTTGGGTACCAACATAATTGTAGCCTCATAAAAAGAGTTTGGCAATGAACCTTCTGCTTCTATTGTGTGGAACAATTTGAGGAGTATTGGTACTAGCTCTTATTTGAATTTCTGGTAGAATTCTGCACTGAAGCCATCTGGCTCTGGGCTTTTTTTGGTTGGGAGACTTTTGATGACTTCTGTTTCCTTAGAGGTTATAGGTCTGTTTAAGTTAGTTATCTGTTTTTGATTCAATTTTGGTAAGTGATATCTGTCCAGTAAATTGTCCATGTCCTTTAAATTTTCCAATTTTGTGGAGTACACGTTTTCAAAGTATGACCTGAACATTCTCTGGATTTCCTAGTGTCCATTGTTATTTCCCCCTTTTCATTTATGATTTTGTTAATTTGCATTTTCTCTCTCTGCCTTTGGTTAGTTTGGATAAAGGTTTGTCTACCTTGTTGATTTTCCCAAAGAACCAACTCTTTGTTACATTGATTCTTTGAATTGTTTTCTTTGTTTCCACTTTATTGATTTCTGCCCTCAGTTTCATTATTTCCTGGCTTCTACTCCTCAGGGGTGAATTTGCTTCCATTTGTTCTAGAGCTTTCAGCTGTGATGTCAACTCTCTGGTGTAACTATTCTCTAGTTTCTTCATGTGAGCACTTAGAGCTATGAACTTTCTGCTTAGTACTGCTTTCAAAGTGTCCCCTAAGTTTGGGTATGTTGTGTCTTCATTTTCATTGAATTCTAGGAAGTCTTTAATTTCTCCCGAGAATTATGGTTCTTCAGAAGCTGGTAGGGAGGAATTTTCAGTGTTATTAGTTTTAAGGAATGGAAGTGAAAATAGTAGTAGTAGAGAGAGTGATTCGGAACATTTTGTTCTTGGCAGGGCATCAGCAATGACACATAGGCTGTCCCTGGCATGGCTGTAGAGAGCAATGAAAGGGCAGGCGTAATTGCTGGTCTGAAAACAAGACTGACGTGTGGGGTTCTGCCACTGGTGTCTGGCTGAGCAAAGCACTCCTGCAGGAGCTGCTGCTGCTGTTGCTTCTATGAGATCCATCTTTTCGGAGATCTGTCAGTTGTCTCCTCTTCACTATCAGTTAGGTCTATGAGTATTTAAAACAGATCAGTCTTATACTGTTTTCTTTCATTACTGTTACTATATCTACTTGGAAACCAGATAGACTTAGATTTATGACCATAAGCATGCTCTCATTCGAGGTAACACCTAGCTTCTTAGGGAAGAAGGGGTGTCCTTTACTCCCTTATTCTGTTAAAATGATTGATTTTGGTGATTTACTTTCCTGTGCTATTCAGTGTACCTTTTATATTTAGGAGACTTTTCAGGGGCCAGGAAATATCACTAAGAAATATCTGGAGGTACAAACCTCCTGTTCAGCTACGGCCTACAATTGTATTGCGGATGGGAGCTAATCTGCTATAGAATAGCATGGCCTCAATGGAGAATGTCCCCTAGTTTGCATCTCTACAGGACTAAGCATTTGATTAGGCCTGCACCTGGGCAGAGGGCTAGGTGTGTAAATAACAAGTGAGGATAGAGTTAGAAGAGCTACCAGGCAGAGGGGTCGACTAGAGGAGAGAGAAAATGGCCACATGGCTAGTTAAGCATGGTTAGGAAACAGCCAGGAAGATGCTAAATAAAGAAGAGACTCTAGTTTTGCAGCATGGAACTGAGAGCTCTCTAAAGATGACAAGATGCTTGTGTTTGGTCTTTATCGCTGTCCAGTTGCTAGGAGTTTCCAAGTACATGCTCCCCCACTCAGGCTGAACCTCATGGCTATTGTGGCTTGGGGTTGAGACATGCCAAGCCACGACAGAGACTTACTTATGTATAGTGAGGTGTTCCTTTCTGGTTTAGAATCTTGCTAACATGGTCTTTTTAAAGACATTTTCTTCCTCCTTGTTTTTTTTTTTTTTATAAAATCCCTGTTATTTCTTTCTTAATTGTGTGGAATTCACTAATGAAGCCATGTGGAACCATAGTTTTCCTTCTGGGTCAATTTTCAATTACAGTTTTAATGCTGTGAGTTGATAAAGATGATTAAAGTTTTCTATTTCTTCCATGTTCAGTAATCTGTTTCTCCAGCAGTTTTTCCATTTCATACAAATTACAAAACTTATTATCAAAATAATTGGAATGCCCTAAGCACTGTAGTCATGATATTTTCATTCTTGATATTTGTAATTTATGTCTTATTTTCACCTTTTGCCTTCATCATAGGTGCATACCTGTGAGAGAATGGGGAGCAGGCCAGGATCAACTGTTAGTTTGTAACATTACACTAACTTTGAGTATCATAGGGAAACAGGAGGTTGTGAGATAAAACTTTTCTGTTCAGATCAAGGGATGTTCAAAGGTTTTTAGAAGTCACCAGGTGGCTATTATTTAAGAATTAATTTTCTATCAGTGTGTGTGTGTGTGTGTGTGTGTGTGTGTGTGTGTGTGTGTGTGTGTGTGTCTTCCGTATATAAACAACCTTAGTGCTCAGACATCAGCTGCTGGCCACCGTGGTAAGTGCAGCTTCCTGCTGTGGGTCCCTGACAGTTCAGCCACCAAAAGCTGAACTCTCACAAATGGAGGCCTGTCATGCTTGTTCCCATGACTGCCACAAGCTGCAAACATCCTGCATTCTCCATTCCTGCCCTGTCTTCTCCTGCTTAAAAAAAATGGTCAATCCATCTTATGACTGATACCTGTAATGTCATTTGCAGTTACCATCCAATGGCTTATGTTGTCATTTATTTCATGCAAAAATACCTATAAATTTAGTTCTTTTTTTATGTGTAAGTGCAGAATATATTCTAAGCATTACTTCAAAAGAACTTATATAATTCTCTGGTTAGCAGTCCTTCTAGTCATGATCAATAAGAAGAATGAAGAAATACTATGATGTATCTTGATGTACATTGTTAAAAGCAAACTGATGAAGGATATTAAGAGGAGGCCATATGGAAATTTCACATATGTCATTATAAAGAGCAGATGGTTATTTTCCTCAATAACACAATACCTCCTGGTATTGTGTTCCAGGTGTGTCTTCAAGTGTGGGTGACATAGTAATAAGTCAGACTGATAAATATGCCCTAGTTTTGCTTATTGGTTTCTGAGTCATATTCACAAACACTCAAGTACATAAGTGAACATGTACACACACTAACATGAAGAACAATGGACCTTTAAGTTTCCACATAACTTCCAAGTTTAGCCAGTGTTGGGGAATATAAGCATCTTCATAGAAAAGGCAAATTATAATGACGTACAGAGTAATAGTTATTTTTTTCCTCTGCCAAGATAGGAAAACCTGATCTTCTTCTGGGAAGACCCCCAGGACTGCATCCTTTCTCAAGCCTTTTGTTCTAGATGAGATAAACCTAGATCCAGCCTTAACAGACTTGGACTTTTTCACTCATTTATCAGCTTAGGCCTTTTCCAAGCTACCTTACTCTGCATGGAGAAAAACAGATATATGAAAGACACATTTCATATTCATAATTATTTAATTACAGTGTGTCACCGGTGTCTAGTGCTTGTCAACACTTGAAAAAGATATGTGTGTAATACTCCCAGCATGTGTGAAGAAGAATTATAGATGCAGAAAGCATGCTCTGCCCAGCCTGAAAATCAAGTTTGACTTTTATTCCCCAAACACCTCCAAGTTAGTTATACATTTATGTTTGCTGAAGCAGTAGACTCAAGAAATTTGTTTTTATTCTTTCAGGAAAGTCTTAATAGACATCGATACTTGAACTCTTTCTCTCATGATAACTCCAGTGCCTCTTACGGACTAAATCAGTTTTCTTATCTATCTCCTGAAGAGTTCAAAGGTAAGGTCTGAAAGCACTATTGATTAATTTTCTGATTCTGACTTCTTTGTCTAGTTAAGGAATGATTCATTGGAAATCTTGTAAATTGTGTGATGGTTAATATTTTTTAAATGGCAACTTTGAAGTTTGTACCATGTGCGAAGCTTGAGGGAAGTAAATTAAGGACGACTCTCTGCTAATCATTGCTGAAGAACTAAATATGATTACATGTTCATCTATGCAGCTGCAAGCAACAGTGTATCCTCACGTTGGTAGTTATTAGTTTGCTAGCACCAATTCTGTTCAGAATATTCATGGTTTTGTGGGTAGTAATAAAGGAAACAATGTCAATTATGCATATTTTTTAATCCCTGGCCTAATTCTATCAAGCATATCATGTTATATCACCTCCAGTCCTACTATAGAAATTTACATTTACAGTTTCAGGAAAATGCATTTCATGTTACAGAAAGGCACAGAGGAAAAATTCCAAGTGACACTATGGCTACGTAGCTATTGGTTTTTTCTTGACAAAGTGCTCAAAAATAATAATAATAAAGGCTCCAGAGAAGTCCTTCATGTAATGAGTTCTCCACTGTTTCTTCTTCTTTATCTTCAGCTCTGTATTTAGGCAGCAAACCTGCCTGGTCTCCCAGATACCCAGCAGCAGAACAGAAACCCATCCCCAATGTGTCTTTGCCATTGAGATTTGACTGGAGGGACAAGCATGTTGTAAATCAAGTGAGAAACCAGAAAATGGTAAGCTCTGCATCCATTCATTCTTCATTGTCTGGACATTAGAAAGCACCTCAAGGTCAAGTTCATTCAAACTTGCCAAAAAACCTGTAAGGTTTTCTAGGTAAAATCGCACCTCAGTTACCCAACATGGAAGAGAAGGCTCTTTGAAGATGAGAGATGGTTATCCAGTCCTGACTTTTAGACCTGATTCTGTGTGCTCACTTATCCCTGGCCATTGCACTCAGCACACTACCTTGGGAGTACATCCCAGTAACCATACTAAGCAAACCAGGAATCCTGTGGACTAACAGATGCAAAGTAAACACAGTTACTGGCTGTGTTAAGTGATTCAAAAGCAAAGTGCCATAATAAAGTGAAATGAGACTGCCCACACAGTGTCTGGATTTTTAATCTTCACTTCATCCAATGAGCTCCATCAGAAAACCTGGTCTGCATGCTCACCCACTATGAGGCCATATACCACCCAACCTGTGTCCTTAGAAGTCCAGCCAGTGTAGCTTCAAGGCTACATACTTATTAGAGATCAGCTCTGTCCCAAGTTTGATAGTAAGGAGAAAATGGATATTGGAGAAATAGATTAGGTCATGGTGTGTCAAGCATGGATGAAGGCTATACAATGTCGTATGCATTAGAAAACTCATAAATAAGGTGATACTTTTTTTGCTTGTTGAAGAATTAGCAAATATATAAGTACTGAAATATAAGATAAAGAAGTTTAGCATGAAAAAGACCCACAGTATGCTTTAAGCTATAGGTGCTGAGAGGGAAGTTTGTGGAGTATTGTGAAGTCATGGATGGAGAGTTATCTCAAGGCAGAAGGAAGATGGCAGAACTATGTGGCATGGTTGTGGCTTGCAATGTCTACTCGCCCACCAATTAGTAGAAGTTTAGAGGATCTTCTTCTTCTTCTTCTTCTTCTTCTTCTTCTTCTTCTTCTTCTTCTTCTTCTTCTTCTTCTTCTTCTTCTTCTTCTTCTCCTTCTCCTCCTTCTCCTTCTTCCTCTTCTTCTTCTCCTTTATTTCCCCACATTTCCCACTACTATGTGTCCATTATCAGCACAGGTAATGTAGCACAAAAAAGAAAATCAAGTCAACAGCCACAGGATGTCACTTACAGGGTACCTGCTTTAGAAACATCAATAGGTCCCCCCTCCCTATGGAGAGGAAGTGAAGTGCTTTGCACACTCAACTGTTCTAGTCTCCATCTAGTTAGAATGTTTTCTTCTAATTCTCAGATTCAGTGTTTATAGTTGTTTATTAAAATTTACTACCAAGCTATTTACTACCATGGTATTCAGGGTGATGGTAAGAAGTGGGTGATGCATGAATCCAGTCCTTCCCAGAAGGAATTTACATACTCAGCAGTGGTGGGTTTTTGTAGGAGCTGACTCAGTGGCTTGACTCCTGCTAGCTGTGGGTGTGGCATCCCCAGTCATAATCACATTTGGAGATCAGTCCATCTTCAGGTGGTGAATATTTACCTGTACCGAAAGCACTGAGGTTACAGGTTTAAGACCACTTAAAACCATGGTGTTGCATAGAGCATCAGTCATCCCATAAGGACACTCAAGACTCTACTGTGCTGGTTCAGCAGGAGATGCTCTTTTGATTAAGCCAGGTTTTAAATTCCTCTTTCCCCCTTCTTTCTCTCTTTCCTTCCTATGGATTGTGCAAACTTTTATGTGGCTCCTATTCCATTTCTTGGGTCTCCTTCTTTCCTTAGAAGCAGTTCATTTATTCTTTTCTAAAAACCAGTGATTCATAAAGTAAAAGTACAGACTAATCATAAACCAACCAGTGCCTCTGAGTGTTTTCTTAGCCTCTCCCAATTCATTAGCTTGGCTAACTTACTTGGCCATAGTGACATTACTGTTTTTGTTTTGAACAGTAAATAGATGTCAATGCTCAAAGGAGAATTTTAGTTTCATTTTGAAGTTTTGAACGAATGTTTATTATATATGTAGACACTGACTGTTAGTTTATACTACCCCTGTCTTTTTGGCAGTGTGGAGGATGCTGGGCATTTAGTGTGGTGACTGCAATAGAATCGGCTTGTGCGATCCAAGGGAAACCTCTGGACTACCTCAGCGTGCAGCAGGTCATCGACTGCTCCTTTAATAATTATGGCTGCAGCGGTGGCTCTCCTCTCAGTGCCTTGAGCTGGCTAAACAAGGTAACCATCTCAGCTTTCTGAATTGCTGATTTACTCTTATGTCCTGTGTACACAGAATCCAATCACTGTCTTATATTCAACAAGGTTCAATGATCAGAAATCAAAGTAGACAAAAGCTGAGTGACTTAATCTGGGAAAAGATGCACTGCAGGGAATCAAACCAGGGACAGGTTTGATCAGGCCAGAGCTCCACTGAGTTATGCCACAGATCCTGAAGATACTAGAAGTAATGGCTTTTATACAAATTAGCCATCAATATATAAACGGGTAAAGATATCTTAAACACATTTTGCAGAAAGATATTATTATTTTTCTTAGTAGGTAATTTTCATGTGGATACCAATAACATAACTTCTCAGGAGGACTAGGGTATTCAGTTACTGGTTTCCATAGATGTCCTGAATGACAGTGATAGGGGAGACATAGCATCTCAGCTGGATTTATAACCCTTTATGGACAAAGAAAAGAGCGCTGAAAATTGGAATCATGTCATCAGACAAAACTGGATGCTAAGTCCTTGCTTGACCTTCCACTTCAGGGCTTTGTCACACTCTAGTTTCTACATTTTCTCCCCGACACTCTTACATATCCAGCATTAGTGGAATGAAATGAGAAAATGAGGTGCCATTGTAAAAGTCATCAAGTCAGTGTTGTCCAAACCCAAATGTCCTTTCATTATACATTCACTTTACAGGCCACCACTACACATGCCAGTGGCTGCTCTAGACACATTATAGACAATAATGATTGTGCCTCTGCTCTTTGAATAAGCCCAGCACATTTACCTGTGCAGACAACTATAAGGCATGCATCACTTCACAAGACGCCATAGCAAGAACATTTGGCTACTGTCTGGCCTCGGAGCTTTGATAGCCAAGTATTAGGAGCCTTAGAAGGAAAGTGTGTTGCCCTAGCATGCCCACAGGAGAAGGATAACAGAACATATCTATGGTGGTTCTAGAATGGAAAGGCATAAGGGAAAAAAATCAAAAGAAAAAGCTAAAGATTCATGTGTTCTCAGATACTTGGTACAAGCACCTAGTGATTTCACAAGTTTAAGAGCAAACTATGCCTACAGGCTGTTTGGGTGCAGCCTGACCTCTTTGACTGCACTGAAGTAAGCTCTACTTAGCATTTAAAACAGCTGGGAGTGATCACTTTGTGACTGTTTCCTGTAGACACAGGTGAAGTTGATGGAAGATTCAGAGTACCCATTCAAGGCAGAAAATGGCCTGTGTCGCTACTTTCCCCAATCACAATCCGGAGTTTCAATCAAAGATTTTTCTGCATATGACTTCAGGTAAATGACTTGGTTTTTGTGTCTTTATTTGCTACGTAATCTGTGCTGTTTTCAGAATTGATGGTTTGATGGAAGGAACCCTTACCATTACACAATCTTGGTTCAGCACTAACTTCCTACTAAAGAGTTCAAAGGATGATCACAACGGGGTGTCACAGAAGTCTCCTAAGTAGAATCTGCATATTTTTTATGTATCATCACACTAAATATAAGAAACTTAAATGAATAACTTACAAATTAGTTTCAAGCTATACCATATGTCTGCCACCACTCAGAAAATTCACATACTAAGACACAGGAGCTTGTATCAGTCTTAGTATTTGAGTCTGTCCAAAGTCACATTGCATAGCTCACAGATTACATAACAGGAAGCCTTTTGGATCACTATATTCTGGCAGTTCTCAAGGAAGCAACTATTGGAAAACCCAAGCCTATCACATTCAATCTTGGAGCGAAAACTGTAGCACTTAAGATAATTTATGTAGCATGTGTGCTGCATGAATGTGATGAGGATGCAGGACAAGTAAATGCTGGCAAAATGGAAGGAGTGGTGCTGGAAATTTAGAAGAAGTAGAGTAACTTTTAATGAGTTCACATATAAGCAATCTTTAAAATCACATTAAAAATAGGTAGAGAATAGGAATGCTATAGATAGAAGAAGCAACCTACTCCTGGTTCCATTGATGAATGTGTTTTGGATTATTGTGCCATTATTGAAATATCACACAGAATAAAAGAACTCATTCAGACACAGGTATAGAATGCCCTGTGATTTGCTGATGCTTGATGTACATGGCATCTTCCCATGGGAAACAGGCAATCAGGGTAAAAGTAGATACTTGAACCAAACATAACTCTTAAAATCTAGGTATAAGTGCCCAGAGCATTAGAGATTGTCAACCCAGCTCCTGTTTGCAGGAAGGGCCATGGAAAATGACCCTAAAAAACAGAACGTTTCTTCTGTAACTAGCTACATAGGGTTCTGACTACAAATAAGTTGGAGAGCAAGTAGAATAGAGAAAGAGAGTACTCTAGTGCTAAGCAATGCCTACAGCCCAACAACTTCTGTATTTTTTAAAAACATATTCATGGTAAACTCTTAGGCCAGAATCAGGCCTAAGAAAGATCATGAGTTCATTCATTCATTCATTCATTCATTCATTCATGTAACTACTGTCCAGTGTTTACTGTTGGGGATTGGTAGTAAGCAACATAGACAAACTCCCATCCCTGTGGACTGTTCTTTGATGACTGAGACAGACAAATAGAACAAATAGGAACATGTGATATGTTTGGTGTATGAACTTTTAAATAAAACAGTGGGAAGAGAGAGCTTCCAGGGCAGTGGGTCTCAACCTGTGGGTCATGACCCTTTTGGGGTCAAATGACACTTTTACAGGTGTCATATATCATATATTCTGCATTGTAGATATTTATGATTCGCAATTAATAATTTTTAAGCATTGGTGAATGGGACAGACTGAACTAGATATGAGACTACAATTTTAATTTACACTGGGTTGAATTTTAATAACAATAAATATTCATACATTATGAAAGCTTGCTAGATGACATCCAGTGGTTGGAGCATGACAACGAATGTGTCTGAAAATACTGACAGGAAAAAAAGAATAGGATTGGTGCTCACCACAACCTGAAGACCTATATTAAAGGGCCATAGCACTATAATAAAGGTTTGAGAACCACTTCTTTAGGGGAGTACATAGTCCTAAAATGGGCTGACAAAAGGAGCCTCACTGAGGAGTAACTTTTGCAATAATATTCTTATGAAAAGAGCATCCTGAATATTGCTCCAAACAGAGGAAATGGGTGCAGAAGTCCCGAGACAGAGGCCTGCTTAGCATACTTGCAGAGCAAGGAGGAGACAATGTAGTCCAGTGGAGAAAATGTCAAGGCCAGCATATGAGGACCCTTCAGGAGACTAGAAGAGTATGGAATGGGAGTCAGGGCCCATTCTTCTCAGGGGAGCCTGGTACTATACACTTCTTTATGGAAGAGTCTAGACTTTTAGGACATAACAACTTGACTTAACAGAATGAGGTAATAAAGTCTAAGGCAAGAAGAGAGCTACAAGGAAATATCAGAGAAGTTGAGAGATGTAGACAGTGGCCACAAAAAATCTCTTGGCAGTGGGAGAGGAAGGAGACAGCAGGGCAAAGCAATTTGGCTTCAGCCAGAATCTTATCTGTGACTTGAGGCCAATGGCTGAGGAACTCTTGGTCAGAGTCGAGATATACACTTTTGAGCCTCATCAAAACTAATTTCCATAGCCTTATAAGACCCTTTAGTTGAGGGGGCCACTGAGGTAGAGGTGGCCATGCTATCATGATCTCTGGGTTTAATATAGGGTCTGGAAGTCTGACAAACAGCTGGAGTCTCATTCTGAGAAGTAGAGGTATACACTAATATGCTGAGTTCTGGAGATGGTGGGTCTTCCTTGGTATCTGCCTCAGCTATTGGTGGGCACAGCTCTGGTGTATCTATATCACTCTTTCCATCAGATGTGTGTCTGAGACTCGAGGTCTTGGGGCTGTGGACTGCAAGGCTAGGATGAAAATCATGACTATTCGACTCTGAGCCCATTCATCTCACTCTCTAGTTCTGAAATCACAAGCTCTAGTATTCAGTTCTCAAAACATGTCATTCAGGGACCAATGATCTACCCAAATCTCCACAAGACATGGTACAGAAACTGAAAAGAATCATGAAGGTGGGTGTGTGGTTCAAATAAACATCGCCTAGGTTTAAAACAAAACACCATCATGCTAGGCATCTTCCGTGGACTTTTTCTCTCAGAGCCAGGCCTTGTATGACTCAAAGTGGCATGAGGAAATACCTATGCAGATAACTAAAGGGAAGGAAGTGACTATGCACTGCAGTGTGGACCCTGGAGGACATGACAAACTGTTCATCAAGCTCTCAGGAAGAGGAGATAATGTCCACAAAATCACCAGATGTCAGAGAGAGCATTTGCCTTAAACAATAAACCTTGATGACAATAAAATTTAGGAGACTTCTTTGAAGTGTATAGATTTTATAAATTGATGATTTATGGAATAAAACCTAAACACATGGAATCTGGTCTGAAAACTTAACGGCTCTCAGCAATGTAGTTCATATTGGGACTAAATGGGTTGGGAGTGGGACACAGATGCTGTTAACCACAGAGTTTAACTTGGACAAAGCTACACCTATGAAAAACAAATGATGATAATGTCATTTGGTCAGATATCCGAGATCAAATGGAACAGTTATCTGCTGGCTGTGGGGGTGGGCTAGCCTATACCCAATTTGCTAGCACCTTCACTATCTTTTCCTCATCCTGATCAGTCACAGATTGTTACTAAATTATTTCAATGGCTGAATAATTGGTACTGTAGAATGGTTACATGCTGGACTTCTCTGCCTAAATCCTTAGCATCTCTCCTGGTGCCCTTGAAATTAGATTATTGATGAGAGGGGCTTACTCTTTTGTTGTCTTAAGTAGATGGAGAGAGTCGTATTAAGGCAAATATAGAGAATATATTTGAATTACAAAATATTCAAAGAATTTCAAGACAAAAGGGATATATTATGCACTATAACCTAGGCAGAGCTGAACTAGGTCTTGGGTAACTTAGAAGGCAAAGGAAGATTATAAGTTTTGGGTAAACTGCATGAGATTTATTATAGATTTAGTATATATGATATATTATGTATTTCATCCTAGACTTGCTACAGAACATAAAGTCTATTTAATTTTATAGTGTTATGGTTGTAAAGAATATGGTAGATGGCATAATACAATACACATCTGGGTTTGAACCCAGAATTGGAGAAATCCAAGGCCTGTCTTTTGTCTTTGGCTATGATACCATTTTAAAAATTTTATGTCTGACCCCTGTATCTAATAATTGCTGTTCACCAATCATTAAGGCAGAAATTGAAAGTGTGCAAACCAAATCTCAGGTTAATATTTTTGGATGACCTCTTGCATAAAATGAAGGTGCAGTTTCTATTGCAGTCAATTCCACGGTTAGGCTTTTGGAGTGCCTTCCATCTGTGGACTAAGTGTTCTCTTGCTGGAAATTGGCAGTAGCAAGTGAGGTAAGGAAGCATTTACACTGAAAGGTGCTAATACTTAATAGTTTGCTGTAGCAATAAACTACCACATGCTATCTTTATGGCCTGAACAATCAAGTACCATGGTTTCGGTATCCTTCAACCACAAGCTGGCCTCTAAAAAATGTAAATAGTATTTGGCCACACACATTTAGGATAATGGAGGCCAAATATTGTATAACATTAGATTTCTCAGTAAACAATATGTAATAAGTAAATGTAACAAAAGTTTGCTTTGCAATCTTGATAAGTAGCACCTAGTTCTCCTGACATCTTGCTATTTCTTCTGATTTTTTTTGACATATCTTCCAGTGTTTTTCTGAATGAACCTGCATTTTATTTCCTGTATTTAACTTTCTCTGACAAAAAGTGGGCATGGTTATTTGCCAGATATTCATCTCTTGGAGGTGACAGTTTATTTACAAATATCACAACTTTACATATTAATTATTAAAAGGAACCCCACACTCTATCAGGATGCTTACCAGATACAAAACTTTGTATATCTTCTTATAAGCCAGAGTCAGGCTCATGGCAGAGTTCTGGCCAATGAGATCCATGCACATAGAAGTGTTTCTTCCTGGAAATCTCAACAGAGACATAGCTTTTTCTCCTTCCTGTTTTATGCTCCTTGAAATATGTGTTAAATGGCTGGAGGAACAGAAGCCTTGGACCATGAGAAGATCATAGAAGTGAAACCCTGCTTAGCAAGAGATATGCAAAGAGACTGAGAGCCTAACATCCTTAAGTCCCATAGAGCCCTGGACTGTCAGCCTCTCTTGTCTTTTAATATCTGTGCTTACATCGATTTAAAAGATCAGGTTTTTTTGTTTGTTTGTTTTTTGTTTTTGTTTTTAGGGGATTTTTTTGTTTGTTTTTGCTTTTACCTTAAAAGTTAAATACTCTACCTATGCATATCTTCCTTCCATAGTGGCCAGGAGGATGAAATGGCAAAAGCACTTCTGAACTTCGGCCCTTTGGTAGTGATAGTTGATGCAGTGAGCTGGCAGGATTACCTAGGGGGTATAATTCAGCATCACTGCTCCAGTGGGGAGGCAAACCATGCGGTTCTCATCACGGGATTTGATAAAACAGGTAAGTCCGAGTGCATAGAATCCCTCCTGAGATTGGAGCTCTGAACTAGGGCCAAGATGCTCTGCTGCACCTCAGAAGCTGCTTGCCCATGGATGTCTTGGCATTTGGCATACAGCATATCTATCAGGTTTTGATAATCTCCCTCCTTCTGCCCCCCCATGTGGGTGGGGATTGTGTTTTGCTGGGCATTCAATCGTGTGTGTGTGTGTGTGTGTGTGTGTGTGTGTAATACTTCATCTTCTAATTCCCTGGGAATGAGTTTGTCTTGTCATACGTAACTTTGTATTAAACAAAATGAACTCAGACAGATTCTACTGTGTGGAATGAGACAATAAGCACAATTCAAAGTTGCTAAGCTATCTAGATAAAATAATTTCAAGAAAGTAAATATAAATTCTTGTTTTACATTTATATTTTTCTTGCAGCAAATAGATTTATAGCATACCTCAATTTTAAAAACAGAAATGTAATGTTCCTAATTGATGTATGTTTATCAGGGTGAATTAGCATCTTACCTTTGTAGGAAATACTCCATATTGGATGGTGCACAACTCCTGGGGAAACTCCTGGGGAATAGATGGCTATGCACATGTGAAAATGGGAGGTAATGTTTGTGGTAAGTCATGAACTTGTGTTGAATATTCTGGGCTAAATATGAAGGGCTTGACATACCTGAATGAATTCAGGCTTCCAATGGGTTCAGTGCCCTTTAGTATTAATTTTTTGCTTAGCCTATTTAAAAAAATGAAGTTTTTCATAATGTACTCTTAAACCCATATTCATTTTAAAATAAAAAATTGTGTATATATGTTAAAACATAAAATATAATAATAATTTAACAAAGGCAACCACTTCCAAAAAAACAGATTATACACTCCACTTAGGAGACTGGACTTCTTCAGAACCATGTCTCTACTTCAAATTCCTTTTTTTATAATGTATGAATTCCCTTATTGCTCAAGACAGTAAAGAGTAGCTGAGGATGTGTGTCAGTGGTAGAGCACTTGCACACATGATCAAGGCCATGGGTGTGATCCCTGACATTGCAAAGGCAAGGAAAACATGAAAGGAAACAACAAATTAGGAATCGTTTTTTCTTAGTGTGGAAGTATGAAAATCGGAGTGAGCCTCACACTTGTTTTTACTTACTTTGCAACCTGTCACCTGCAAAACGCTTGTAAAATGCCTACAGAAACTGCAAAGCTTACCAAATACACAGTTGGCATTATATTGTATAACAAGCCTAACAAAAACAAATGGAAAGAGCTGGAAACAAATGGATAAGCTGATGTTGAAACCTGGATTCAGGATTGTAGTGTGAGATTTGGTCTGGAAAACATTCATATTTTCTGAATCTAGTTAGAATTAAGCTAAATTGAATATAGAAACACTGATTTCTCATTGTAATGAGTTCTATCATTGTGACACACAAATCTTTGCAACGTGCAGGCCCTTCAAGATTGTGAGAAAGGTCAAGAGTTACAGCAAAATTTGAGAGTAGGTGTTTGCTTTAATCTGGTGATTGTTGTGCTCCTACTCCACAGCATAGAGTATATGCAAATCAATTACTAACCTGTCCAATTAGACAGTGAAATGGTTTCTATATTGGAAACAGACAATGTCACAGAATACAGCCAACCACTTAGGGTCCTGCTGCTCAGTGGATATCATGGCTGCTTTTGTGTTACTGGAACTTTCAGAAGAGGGGCTGCTATGCATGCCCCCCTGCTGCTGACTCTCACAGTCTCTTAATGTGGCTAGTATGTGCTCAAAATTGTGTTCAAAGCTCTGAACATGAATGTAAGGCCTGGGGAGCTCAATGGACACAGTGCAAATGGTGGTTGATAATTGCCTGCATTTCACATTGGCCTTTTCTAGCCTCCAAGATACTTTCTTCCTTCTACATTCTTTCACAGTCTGAGTCTCCAGAGGCCTTCCTGGTTACTGGGTGTCCTGGGGGTCCAAATCCTTCCTGAGCATGTTTCCTGAACATTGTATACCTAGTGCTGTCCACATTATTCCATTAAACAATGGCAAAAGGCAGAAACTATTCCATGATCCTAGGAAATTTCCTGATTATTGGTCAGTAAAATGAAATCCAGTTTTCAAATGGGCAGTAACACACATGAAATTCATGAAAATTTATTAAACTTCAGGGCCGTACAAATCTTATATACATTCATTTATTCAGCTAGCAAGTAGTTTGGGAGTTGATTTTTTTTAAACAAAATTCTTAACTATCTCTCCTTGTGTTTGCCTTTAAGCTTACCTTGCTTTTACTGACAGCTGACCATTAAATTATTTGGTTAATGGATATTAACTCAGACTAAATCTAAATGAAAGTTAAATTTTGCAAAGCAAATCATTTAAAGAAAACTGATTGCTATTAATACTTTTTTCTTTTCTACTTTTTTGCTTTAGGCATTGCAGACTCTGTCTCTGTTGTCTTTGTGTGATCACGTGATGGAGTCATCATGAGACAACTATAAAAACGAAGCTCTTCATAGTAAGATCTAATATAATACTTAAGTCTGAGCATTATTCACTGTCAAGTTTCAACAACTGCCTACAGGAGGTTCTAAGAGCAAGCTAGCATTTTTTAAACAATGGTAGGTCATCTCATTCTTGCAGAAAGATGGACAAAGTTCATAGGAATCACACAACCCCACCCTGCCACCTCCATCACATGGGCCTGCAAGGAAATCTGGAACAGTGTGGAATTCTAAGAGCTTGGTGGGATCAGAAGTCACATCAAGCCCTCCATCTGGAAGCAGTTGGGATTTTTGCTTCCTTTTTGTCTTTCTGGCTGTTTATTGCATTGAAATACTTGGGTTGGATCAAAGAAGGCATCAGAATTTGTTTTCATTTGTTATTTATAGTCACCAGCCATAGATGACCTCATCTACTAGAACTCTCAATCTAAGGCAGTGTGTATCTTACAATCACAGCAGCCTTCTGAGAGGGCTTGCCATGCATATGGATTTGAAATATCAATTGTTTTTCTTCAGCAAATGACCTTACCCTATACATTAGAACAATTATGAATAAAGAAGAAATGTGAAAGTCCCTTCTTCAGAGAGACAACCCAACTGAATTAAATGAAGCACATGGCAGCTATGTGATAGGAAGTAACCTATGCTGCTTCCTGTGAGGAAGAATTTCTAGAAGGCTTCACTGTCGAGGATCCAATACATTTAGCTTCTTGCCTTCTTCTCTCTGTAGTAGAGAACAAAGTATTTTCCACATTTTCTACCTCTCTTGTTCTTCACTGAAGAAATCCCATGTGTTGCTGGTGGTTTACCTTCCAGTCCAAAAGAACTCAGTCCCATTATTGGCATTCCATTTCTATTCCCCAATCACTTATTTAAAAAATTCTCTGACATCTGGTAGGCCCACTCACTTTGCTCTTTGTTCATGTCCTTCACTACAATACCAGAATCAAGAACAAAACTTGTTCTTCTTCCTGTTCCAGGGAGAGGCAATCTCAAAAGAATTTGCAGAGACTGGAGTATGAAAAACTAGGAGAAGACAGTTCTTAGTATTCCCAGTGCTTAGGATAGAGCAGTCTAATTATTCAAGGAGTCCAGAGAGGAATTAAGTTCAGCTATGGTTTTTGTTACTGACTTTCAATATGTTATCAGTGTTTTCTGGTATCCGGTTTCAAATACAAAGGAAGTTTTAAATTTTCATGATTGTTACCCTGAAAGTATTCTGGATTTTTATAACATTTATAATAAAAAACAAAGAACTTATTCTTAAATGTGTCATTTATAATCTATCATTATTTGTGAATACTAATAGATAGTTAATAATATTGATATGCTTTACATTCATATTTCCTTAGATACAAATCCATACATGCAGTGTGGTTTTCTTCTTAGACACTTTCAACCCCACCATATCTGAGATACACCTCATCATCCTCCCAAAGCTGCCTTCACTGCCCAGTGGTCCTTTGCTCCTTACAACTTTTTTCTGTCAGGAACATTGCTATTGTGTAACACTCAATAAAGTCAAAGGAATTAGGTACTCAATCAAGTCAACTCTGCCTTAGAACCTATTCCTTCCTCTTTCTGGGAGGTACATATTTTATTGTCTCTCATTTCCACTATTTAGTTGTCTCTAGCCAACCTCAAATTACAAACTAAGACAGATTATACAGAAATATTGAGTTTATTGTTCCATAATGTATGCTACTGGGGATGTACTTGACTGAGGGAAGATGGGATTTTACAGGTAAAATGAAGAAAAATTATTAAGCTGTTCTGTTCTGAAATAACTTCCCTCAGCTACAGAGATCCACATCAAACTTGACTAAGTGGTCACCAGGCAGATCTCTTCACAAAAACTTTATGGTTTTGTTTTAGTATGAAGTTATGATGATCTTTGGTGTAATGTAGTTAAAATACTCTTTTGTAATAGTTTTATATAATACATATATATATATATATATATATATATATATATATATATATTTCCCTTTTCATGACTTCACAGCTTTATTACTTTTGTTTTCTCATTAGAGCCTGATATAAGTAACTCTTTTTGGTTCTGACAATATTTATTAGTCACTAAACTCAATGACCTTTAACCCAGTGGCTCCCACACTATAATGTCCAGATCAGAATCCAGATTGCTGTTAAAAAATGCTATTATAATGTATTTACTGTATTTCCCAAGATTTATACCTCCAAAATGATGTTATCATTTTACTCTGGAGTTTTAAACCACTAGGAATCCCCTGATGCCTGTAAGACAGCATGCAAATATTTACAAATGAGCTTCATGGAGAGCATCACTGTCAGGGGCCATATAATATTTTGGAAATATATTCCACCCAGCCAAGAGTTCTGAGAGCTCAGAATTTCTATTGCCTTTTAGATGCCAGTTGATATGCAGCTGGATGGCCTGGCCTAGGTGGTTTATAGCTCCTATTCTAAATGAATCTATATCCACCCTGAGGACCAGTGAGACTGCTGGTGTGGGGTACCTGAGGACTTGAGTACCAGCTGCAAAGAAGTGTCTCTAGGATTAAGGGAAATATTTGCTACCAGCCCTTTATACATGATAATATATGTCTACTGCCATTGCCCTTACCTTTGAATGGTTACTTAAGATGATGCTACAATAAACCGTGGCCTTCAGTGTTAACTGGGAGACTTCCTGATATAACCAGATGTCTCTGTCTTGTCTTTAATGCCTTGGAGAGTTAGCATATCCCAAGTCCATACTCCTCCATTCAGAGTCGAACCCAGGGCTGTTGGGCTGGTTCCAATCATAGCCCAGAAGACGTCGGTCCATAATAAATGGCCCCTGCAACGTGGGGCTAATACATACTGGACCACGACACATCACTCTACCTTTATGTCCTCTGTAGGTGAGTGATGACTTATCTACCTTGGCTTGTGTGTGCTCCAGTCCCAGAAAGCCAGAGGCAGAGCAGGTCACTTCATGACTTAATACTTAGGAGTCATACTGAAAATCATCCACACATCCTGGAAGTGATTTCACAAGGTCCCCACTGCAAGTGTTAAATCAATCAACTTTATAGTGACTTTGAAATCCCACTGATAGTTGCCATGAAAGTGGCTCTCCAGCCCCCAGAGCAAAGGGTAATGGAGCCCAGTGGAGGAACCACCAGCACAAATTACTGTGATATTTACGTTAAGAATTATTGAGTCTTTTGAAAAAAGAAACTTCTTCCAATAGTATACAGATTAGTCACCAAGAAATATAGATGTAAAGAACCCAGTCATTGAATCTATTAGAGAAACATAAACTTTGACAGGTAAACTTTATTCCAAGACTCTAAGGCATTTGAGTCATGGAACAGCTATTTACATGCTTTCTGATGAGAAGAAACAAAGCTTAAAAAATAAGTATTGCCCATTTAGGCAGAAACCCCTGTTTCTGTTGGAGTATATCACAGTGCACAGCTAGCAAAGGACAAATTCAGCACTTGCTCTTTAGCTTACTGATTTCTGAGATTTGTCTTTAGTCCCTATGATATTTGCCTTTGAATTTTTATCTGTTTAACTACCATTGTGTATAATGTAAGCACATGCATGAGTGTGCACACATGCACACATTACATATACACAAGCCATGTAACTGAAAGCCACCATCATCTTCCTTTTTACATCCATGAAATACTAATTCCAGGAACCCCACAGGTACCAAAGTCCATGAATGCTCAAGTCTTATATGCAAAATGTTCATTTGTTTAGATATAATTTAGGCATGCCTTTCTCAAGACTCTTAAGTTATTTCTAGTTTAGCTGTAATACAAAGAAAAAAATGTGTGCTATCATTATGTAGAGGACACTGACAGAAAGTCTGCATAAGAACTGTATTTCTCGTTCTGCACTTTAAAAATTGCAACATAGATAGATCCATAATGCAGAACTTTGGACACAGATGGTCCTATATTATGTGCATATTACAGAGTAGCTGAACATGATCCTTATAGTGTTTAACTGAGACCGATTATAGTGTGCTTTCAAGCACATCCCGGCTCTTGGAAATAACTTGTTAAATCTAAGCTTAAATCTTTAGAAAACTTAACACAATATTTTGTAGTCTCTCCCATATCAGCAACTTAATGAAATGCCATCAACAGCCAAGCCAGGCTTGAAAAAAGAAGACTAAGACTCAAGTCTAAGATAAACCCTGAGCATCATGTTTTTTATTAGGAATGTTTGCTGTTTAGTCAGTTGGCCTGTTGAGTGGGTTGGAAAGATCTTTCCTCCATAGAGAACTGCTACTTAATTCTATAGCAGTTGTATATGTTAGCGCTGACCATGCCCCAGTGCAGGCACTGGGGCAGGAAAAATCACCTTTGTCAATCTCAGGGACCATAGTGTAAGGAAGAAAAGTAGTCTATGACAGCTAATACTGACACAGAATACAGAAGAGCATTGTCAAAACATTTCAGGAGCAGCACATTCCAAGAGCTGAACTGGGTTCCTGTGCTGTATTTCTTAAGTGCCATTGAGTTCTGAGAGATGGTGAAATAATAATCCAACAGTATCACTCAGGTCAAGCTTCAGAAAAGCTTCTGCTGCTGCTCAAGTTTCCCAACAAAACCATGTTTTACAAGCAATGCACAGCCAAAACCTAAATATATTATTTAAAGTTTTATTTGAATAAATTTTATATGGAATGACAGTATTTATTGCATATATAATATAAAGTAAGTGCTCAATAAGCTTTATAAAGCATGACACAGTGAGATAAGAATTATATAAAGTGGTAAGTATCAGGGTAAATTGAGCTTTAACAGGAATACATTGTATGTATGATGATGCTAACATTTTACTGTATTATTTCTCATCATAGTAGTTAATTTTACATCATAACAATACACAAGATTATAAAATTGTTTCCAAGATTGCACTAGAACACCATGTCACTGAGCTCCATATATAAATACATTACTCCAAACATGTATTCATAAAAACTTATAAATTAAAAGACAGACTAAGAACGTTGTAGTTTTCCCAGATGTTCAGAATAATTTAATCTGATTCATCACTGCTGAAGTAAGAGCTGTCGCAGTACTCAGCTGTGTAAAGGAATTTGTGAATGATTGGATTCATCTTTGGTATCCAGTGTCGGGGAACCAGGTATGTTGAGAGGTTAAATAAATCCACAAACACCTTGTACCTGTCACTGGAAACATGCATGCAATCTACATATTAGATTGTTGATAATAAAAATTAAAAATATTCTATTCCATAATTTTTCTAATATATTTCCCATAAAAAATATCCAACCTTATATCTTATATGTCACATATATTATGTATAGGTTGGTTTGTAGGTAGTATTGGTACTAATATTATGTAACTTTCAATCACATCCCAGATTAATGTTTATAAATAGTTAGGTGTTTGATTCAGACCAGAGTGATCCAATTTAGACCTAAAGTCATTTTTGTGATATGGTTTTCATGTAGTTAGGGTTGTGTCCTTATTTCTTATTTGTTGAAAGATTTATTTTTATTAATTTTTAAATAATGTTTATGTGCATGTCTGTATGTGGGTAAGTGTGTGTGAGTGAAGGTACTGGAAAAGCCAGAGGTGTTATTCTCCTGGATTTCAAGTTACATGCAATCATAAGCTAACTTACTTGAGTGTTGGGAATTAAATTCTAGAGGAGCAGAAAATATTTTTAACTACTGAGACATCGTTTTAGGCTCCTTACTATTTATTGTAAAAGGTGGTATATAAAGTAATACATTTAAAAAATGGATTTCTTAGTTGTTCATTGGAAAGTATTTCCTAACTGCAAAGTGGCTATCATATGACTTTTATGAAGGATTAATAAATTTAAATGTCATCTTGCCTTCATTAAAAATATTTGAAGAGTGGTTTTCATATGAAAATTGATTTTCTGTTTGCTAGCCAGCTATGTGAAATGATAGTTTTAAAACAGAAAAATCTGTTAAAGTTTTAGAAAGGAAGAAATTTTGCCTTTGTAGTCAACTAAATCTGGTTTGGAATTCTGCTTCAATCACTTGTAACATATGAGACCATGGATATGAAGCTGAAGAGTCTAACTCTATGAAATAAAATCCACAATACTTCCTCTGGCCAGGACATTGTGAGGATTAAATGAGATGATACACTAGAAACATTGTCCAGGTTAATCATGTCCATGTAAATATGCAAATGCAAATATCTGTATTTTCCCATGGTCTTAAGTTACCCCTGTGAAAGGGTCCTTGGACCTCCAAGGGGTTGCAACCCACATATTGAGAACAACTATTCTATACTAGTGCCAATTTGGCAGCCATTGATCCCAGAACACCTTTTTGTCACAGGATGAAATGATGAGGTTCTATAGCTGAGAATTTTATACAATCATCTTGAGTTTCCATAGGAATATTGGTATTTAACTAAATGTGCTGTTATCAGTTCAGACAGAGGGAAGTGTAACTTTTCCTGAACAGACCTGTAAACACCAAGACTTGCTAACTTCTACCATGGTGAGAAGTCCTAACTTACCTCACAGTTGAGCGTAGGTAGTGATAGCCTGAGGATCCCCCGGTGCCAGCCTTGGTGCCCAACATCCTGTGCACCATGCACACATGGTTATCTAGGCAAACACACAAATGTACTGTGTGAATATTTTTCTGCCATTAGCTCCACAGTGTTCTAAAACCAAAGGGTTGGTAATGATTATTGCTTCAGCAAAAGCTGACACCTTATCACTTAGCCAGATGGAAAGGTCAAAGGTGAGCACCAGAGGAGACCATCAGGCTGCCTAGCAACCCTGTGGCTTAGGCAACATGCATTTTACTTCATTCTTTGCTGCTTTTAGCTTGTTAGCACAGTAACAGGGAGCCAGGGCCACATAATAGCTTTCATGAGTCCTTTACATTTGTTTTTCTGTGGGATCCTTCCTCCAGGAAAAAATAAAAATAAAAACAATTTGAAATTATCCACCAGAGGTCATCATGTAAAGTTATAGGGAGGGATGGAGAACCTAAGGGGTGATTAAGAAAAAGAAAACATTCTATGCTTTCTCTCATTCTGGCCTGGCCTTAGTAATACATACATGAACATGCAAAGGTGGCCATGTGTAGGGAAGAAGGCACCAGATAGGAAGGCATGCAGAGGGGAAGTTAGCAGCAGAGCCAAAGTAAGGTACAATGATGAGTGCGTATGTAAATATGATGAAACCCATTCACTCCAACACAAACCAAAAATTAACTAAAAACTTACAAGATAAAACATAGCAGATCATTTTATTTCTTAAAAGGCACTGGCATGGGAATGAAGATATTGTATATTGACACTAACACAAATACAAATTTTGCTTTTCCTTTTGATTCTAAAAGGAAATAAAGCATTTTCTCGATGCCTCAAATGTGGTAAAGGCACAAAGGGAGGGCAAGGAGACCAGGTGGAGGAGTACTTACATCTCCATTTGGTCATGAGTGTGTCTATATCCATAAGCGAGGTCAGCAACTGGAAAGGTACCTGGAATCGAGGCTCCTCCCTACAAAAAACAGTAGGAAGTCCTACTGATTGAGACTCCAATGCACCAAGACAAGTCAGAGTGTCTGTGGGTTGGCCCTAGTAAACTCAGTATTTAGGAGCTGTACTACCTTCAGATTATTCTCTCAGTTTTTGTTTCCTTACCTCAAAATAAGTGTGGGGTGCACTATTCACTGCCAGCATTTGTGTGAAGTCTAGAAAGTTTCATGTAATATGTATGAGGTAACCATCCAGACAGTGCTGCCTAATCATATCTTACTTGAAGGAAGATATATACAGTATCTTAAACAGAATGCTAACAATAATCAAATGTTTCTGAACGGATAGTAAGACATGAAAACAGATCATTTCTATGTCCCCTACTTTGCTTGGATTTCTTTTATCTAAGCCATCAACATTCTTGATACATATTTTACTTAGGACATCCATTTATTTCAAAATGAGAAAGCAAAGCTAAAAGATTTAGTTTCTTCTGATTCTGAAGGGACAGATTTGAGAGAAGTTGAAAATTAAAACTTTCAACTGAAATAAATTCTATAAAAAGTCCCTTGAAGGCTGTTTGGCAATGTAATCCTCCCTGGTCTGAACACATGTTCATGAGCCCTGAGGAGAAGGTGAACATAACACCCAGGGAACCCTGAAAACATTTTAAAGAGGAAAGAAATTTTATATGAAACCATTGACCGAGTAGACCACTGGCTATGAGACATTCTCAATTGCCCACTTTTCTTTTTATTTTAGTTTTTAATTGCATTTCCTTTATGTAGGGGTGGGCCAAGTTATGTGCGTTCCATGGCTGGAACATCTTTGGAAGCCAGGAGATAATTGGAGGGAGTCGATTCTCTCCTTCTACTATGAAGGTGGTAGGAATCAAACTCAGGTTATACAGCTGATCAGCAAGTGCCTTCACCCAATCACCCATCTCACTACCCTCAAATTTTCATTTGATAAAACAGACAAATCTCTGAAACTATTTTTCATGAAATAATTATTTCATAATTGGATATCTAAGAAAAGATTAGCTTTTGCCTTTCTGGGTACCTAATGACTGAAACCCAATGTTTTCTATAATTAAAAGACAATGCTGTCTGCACATGTACATAAACAGCTAACTGCATGAATAAAGTCAGACTTGTCATTTACAATAAATATTTTCTCTGTTTTCTCCAAAAACTGAATTAAATTTTGATTGTACTTTATAAACCATATCTCCTTGACATATCCTCCATATTTACTCTTCAGTTTCCCTTCTGTTTTCTTTTTTTAAATTTTCTTTTTACCTGTAAAAATATATCATCAGTGCTCCCTGGAGTGCACGGTATGACAATCGTCGTTCACCTGTAATATATGTAGCAGGTTTTCAGCATTAAAATCTCTCTTTTGCACAAGGCCTAAGCATGCCCTATGCTAGGATAGGATTTTAACCACTGAGCTAGAGTTCACAGCAAGGTTCAATTAGATAGACAATTTAAACCAATCATGTTAATTTGAATTATCATCTTAAATAATTAAATGTTTTAGGTCTTTTCAGAGACAAAATAAACTACCATTTAGTTTAAGTTTTTGTTCCTTAGCTTGAATTTAGTAATCTATGGCTCTAATAGCAAATTAATTAATATATTATCTCTATATTTAATGGCATATATATATATATATATATATATATATATATATATATATATGTTATTGTAGTGTCTCAAATGTGTTCAGTGATGTTTTAGGACAGCCTGATATAATGAGTGGGTAATTCTCGTGGCATAGGTATTTTCCTGTTGAAACAATACAGTGGTGCACCATTCAAAAACTAAACAAGATTCACTTTCTTCCCCATTTGTAATTGTTTGTTTGTTTGTTTGTTTATTTGTTTTGGATGTGGTGTTCCACGTTTGCAATCCTGGTACTCAAGAGCTGAGATAGGATCATGGATTTAAAGCCAACCTGAACTACATAATAATAGCCTATCTGAAACCAAAGAAAAAGTAATTTTTCTAATTCACATAAAATAGTTTCCTTAGTTTTAGAGGTCACAGTGATTATATAGGAGTGTGGCATGTAAACTAAAACATGCTTCACCTCTCATTATGGGAACAAAAGTTTAGCCATGTTTTCTTGAGGGTTTTTAGATAATGGAGCCTAGCAAGTGTTTGGTGGTAACCTCATGGCGCTGCTACACTCTGTACTGTGCTATAAAAAGTAGTAATTACATCTATCTTGCTTATTTCTAAAATCTTTTTGAGGAACTTTACAATAAAACTTTCCCTTGGCACCCTTACCTGTAGCACATAGTATGAAAATGTTTGCTAGTGTCTTGTAACTATACCAAACTATCGAGCTTGTAAATGAAGGGCTGTCAGACACAATATTTACTCACTTCTTCCTTCTCTAAGTGGAAAAACAGTTGTCATCAGATGTCCCCCAAGTTAGGCTTCATAGCTAGGCATGTAACATTTTATTTTTCATTCTCATGCATATATCCTTGAGGTATATGACCCTTAAAACAACACACCTACCTTTACTTAGGAGATGTTCATGGTGCTTCTCATCAAACAAGCATAGTAGCACCTCTTTCTGCTTCCGGTACTCAGCCATCTGTTCTTCTTTCTCTTCAGACTCTTTCTTAGCCTTAAGGGAAAATATTGCTTTAGCCTTCCCAAGCAGAGAACAGGATGCTGTTTTAAAATGCTTCTCTTAGGAGAAATAGACTCTTAGCCTATAACAAAGGTGCACCTTAAGTATTTATCATTACATCAAGCACTACAATGTGAAAGGTAAGGTCTTACGAAAAGGAATCTTCCATATACTTGCTGTTCTCTTATTTTACTTATATTTAAATGATTTAATAATATTAAGTATTCTTCCTAAAAATCTTAGAAAATAGTACTTCTTAATCATAAATCTATTGATTCTTTATTGACTACCACAGTCTATAAATGCAGTTTCTTAAATATGGTTTAAATTATGTTCTTATGTAGTTACTATCTTTTGATTGGTCAAAGCAAGTCTGCTTTATCTGCACACCCACTTGCAATTGGCGATTTGGACTGTAACAGACCAGTTGGCCCAATTATCCTCAATCCATCAGAGCAAGCACCTTGTGGTGAAAGCCTGTGATTATTCATTGATTAAAGAAATCATCACAGGAAGGTGGCCAACATAAAATGGTGAGCAAAAATTTAATTACCTCACCTCAAAGACATTATCTTGTAGGAATAAGATGTGATGGAATTAGTCACCCAAGCATAGCATTGTGATTAGGGACAGCATTATACAGGAACAGTAGCATCACCATAGGGAGTGATAGCAGTAAGAAGGTTGGCAAAAAAATAGAAAGCTCTACCTGGTGACAAACATTTTAAACTGAGAGGATTCAGAATACTGAGCTCAGCTACTGGGAGATGCCCAGTAGATTTCCACCATGTGATGTATTAAAAGCATTAGGATCCATGTCATCGTTGTTTATCTTTTTCTTGAAAACAGGAAGTATACATGAAAAATTTTAGGCAAGAGGGTGAAGTCACCAGGTTTGCATTTTGGAAAGACAACTAAGACTGCAGCCTGGAAAATGAACTGAAAGGTCCCTACAATGGGGAAGGGATGGGACAATGAAGAGACTTTCTATTTAGTGGAAATCCATGCTGAAATCATGGTGGTAGGTGGAAAAAATCTGTGAAAGCTATTCGAAGATAAAGTTGGCAGTGTTCAGAGATCCCTCAAAAACATTGTTGAGGGGACCTGAGATGGCCCTGTGGTTAAAATCACTTGTTCTTGTAGAGGATCAATGGTTCACTGTTATTGAATTGCTTTAAAACATGAATATATCATGATAGTCCTTTGAGTTAGGTATCCTTACTTTCTATTTTTGCCTACAAGAAAAGTTATGCAAGAACTTACAAGTTTATTTATTGTCACAGAGGTCCATAGTGAAGATGGAAGTTGAGCACATATCACATGACTTTTGTGTTTTGAAAATCCTTTCTCAAAGTGGCAAAGTTGAATAACTAGAGATGCTGAGTCATGAAGACAGGGTGAAAGACCTCTACTATGAAAGAAAAATTGGAAACAATCTCATTAAATAAAATAAAGAACAAATTGATATTGTCTGTGGCCAATGGAAAGGATCCAGCAGAAGCATCAGCAAATGTTACAAGGTTAAATATATTTTCCTAGTTTCTCTCTCCTATGCCAGTGTGCCTTGAAGTGATCACAATATATAATTTCAACAAGGATAAAAATTATATCAATACTAGCTGTTTGCCACAGGTAAAAATCTTTGTTTATAACATAGGTCTTAATTTGACTTCATGTTTATCCTTGTGAATAAAGTTAAGTAAATCATGTAATATATAATCCAAGAAGAGACATTTGTGGAAGACAGATTATAAATAAAATTATGAGAATAGCAGACAACTTATGATTAAATTTATAACCCTTTTCACAAGAAGTTTATGGCACGAATTCATAATTACCTGTATCCTTAGAAATTCCTCTTCCAGTCCTTTCAGGATATTTTCTTCAAACTTCCCCCAGAAGTTAAATCCATGTGGCTCTAAACCAGGTGTTCTTTCCAGCCATGCCTTAAGTAAATAATTATTTAGGTGAGTACCTAGTAAACATAAACATTTAACATCTTCATAATTTTGAGAAACTTGTTAAGACTTTGTGCAGTGTCCACTGAGGCCAGAAGAGAGCAATAAATGTCCCGGAGCTGTTGTGAGCTACTTATGGGGGTGCTGGGGACCAAGCTGCCATCCTTTGGAAGAGCAGTAAGTGCTTTTAACCACTGCGCCATCTCTCCAGCCTCTGCTGCAATCACTCAGAGATTGCAAATGACCCTGTAGCCTGGAAATCAATCTGACTTTATAAACGCTTATTGTTTCTTACTCACCTTGCATTTAGTTTTGAATTGGCTTTTTGTTCGCTTTACTCATTCTTACTAAGGTTTCCAATAATAGATAAGCAATAATAGCCTAATTTCTTACACTAACACCACTCTGTAAATTAAGGGCAGAATGTAATTCACTAGAGAAAAAAAGTAACTTTCAAAGAGGAAAGCTTAGCAACGAAAGTCAAGACAAACTTTGTATCATGTTATCACAAAAACAAAATTAATCATTCATAAACACTTTTCATAAATTCCCAGAAAATTTGGATAAAGGAACTTTTGTGATTATAACATTCTTAGTAATTTAATTATTAAAAATTCTCTGTATAATTTTCAATTGAGCTATATTTCAGAGAAACAAATAATCAAACACAATCAAGGCAAAAAATCAGGTAATTGCGTATTTGATAGGTTAATTTAATGAGATGATGAAGTTCTTAGATACTGACTTACAATTATATAAATCTTGTTGAATATAGCAATAAGATTCTTAGTATCTTAAATAATTTAGTAGGCTTAATTACAGGTTTAATAGGGTTGTCTTCCTGTCTTTGTTTATTATGAAAGTAACCCTATTTTGATAAGAGTGTTTGAATTCTGATGCAGCAGAACCTAAGTTGGCAAAAGGTTGGAGCTGTACTTGGGAGGTGGTGCAGATGCCCCTACCTCCACCAGTTGCAGCAGGGTCTGCTCGTGCTCTGATCTCAGCAGCATCTCGTTGTCCTCATCTCTGAAGTTATCGCGATAGTGTCTCCTGTTGTAAGGGACTCTCAGGCTCTGAAGAACACCTATCTTATTTTCTAGCAGCCGGAACTGTAAACTCTGGAAGCCTGAGGCTGGAGATAGGTACTCTCTGAGAATAAAGGCGAGAAGGGAGAGTGGGGAAGAGCAAGGGAAAGATGAGATTGTACAGCCCTGTACGGTTCCATGCAAAGAGAGGGTTTGTCAGAATATCTATCAGAAGCAAAAAGCCACCTGGGCTTCTACCTAAGAAGACTCTTACATAAATAAAAAATAAGACACTTAAGCATCGTTGTCACCGTGAACTACTCTGAAGTTGGATAGTTTCCAGTTATGAAATGTCATATATTTTAATATGTGTAAAACATATTTTATTGTAATTAATTTATAGACATAGTAGATTATATACATTTTCCGTATGGATATATTGGATAAATATACCCATAAACAGTAGTGTGCATCTGTGTCATACTTTTCTAAGAGAAAAGACAGGTGGACGTTAGGAAATTGTGTTTTCCACAGTGGCAAAAGATTATATACAAATATTATTTAATCCCTCCTTCTAGGGCTAATCATGGATATTATCATCCATCTTCCTATCCAGATGAGCATTAGTGAGATAAAGCAAGTACAAACAATGAGATGCTGCCCAACACAGACAAAGATGTGACTAAACCATCAAGAGCCTTACATCTTCTAACTCCATAAGTGATACTGACCTTTTAATTTCTTAAACGCCACCACAAATAATTTGTCTTCTTTTTCTCCTCTCCCCCTCCCAGTCTTTCACTCTCTCTCTCTTTGCTTTGAAACTTGTTTGGAATGTTGCCTATGACACCATATGATGGAGCCAGCTTAAATTTCTTGAGAAAATTTCTTCTCTAATTTTAGGAAAAAAATTCTTGCATGTGTGCTTTTTAAAGATGTAAGTCCATATTCTGATGATGCAGATATGAAAATGCACACACATATACAGATGGTTGTATATGTTTGGAAGGTTAGAGCTAAAACTGACAGTATATAATGAAATACTGACATTTTGGTTGACATATTTATTTATATACCACTGAAATTTCTTGCATTTTAATATTGTGAGCTATTTAAGCCATTTCATGTTCAATATCCTTTACTGAGAAAACCATGATGATAAACTGAAATTAGTTGATCATCTACTTTTTTATCTAAAAATGAGACATGGGATGTTTTTCACCACTTATCAAATATGTTGTGATCTAAGCCATCAGTGTCCTTCCGGGCCTAATGGAATAGGCTTCTCCTTTCATTCCACACACTTCCTTCTTTTTACAGAACCAGAATGAGAGGGTGAGCCCCATTACATTCTAAACTGGGAAGTGCACACCTGAAGTCATTGAAGTCCAAGGCAGTCATTGTTTCCAGCACAGAGAACTGCTGCACCAGGAGCTTGAAGATGACCACCACACGGTGCATCCGAGTCATCACCTTCAGCATATTCCTCTCATCCCTGACCTGATGTGGAAGGAAGAAACCCCAAGTAGTCAGTTGGATTGTGAGAAGTTACCAAATAGATTATGAATGGCAACGTATTTCTATCAGTTGTCTGTAAATATTAACAGAAACAGCTGTAACTAAAATTTACCACACCTATTTGTGAAGATAATACAATGTTGGGCAGCATGCAAGAGATTTCTACAAATTGGAAATTCTCTATTCTTAAAGCAGATGCATGCTAGAAGCTATCCAGGAGATCCACTCCCTCTGACTTCAAAGCATGTTTCTGCTTTTTTGTTTTGGAGAAGAAAGTTCAAAGTACCAGAGGGACTTCCAGGAAAGCATTAGATAAACAATAACTCTATTAATCTACTCTTCACTGAAAACTCATGAAAGGGTGGGGGGGGGGGATGAACTGGAGCTGATTGAGTAGAGGTTCAGAGCTGGAACCTATGGCAGTGCCTTGAGTCTCAGGGATAGGAGGAGATGGGAAATGAGTTCGTGCAATTGCTCTCTCCTAGTCCCTGAATGCTGTTCTGCCTTCTCTCATCTGTTGTCTTCCTATTCTTTCCCCTTCTTTTCTTCCTCTTCTGACTCTTCCTTTTTCATTTCTTTAATCCAGCCTGTCTTACCTTCCTTCCACCAATCTCACCATAGGTAAAACTCAGTAGAAATAGAATTGTATTACCTGTTACGGGATCATTACAAATTACGCTGGTGACCTACTCCATTTATAGCAACATCTTAAGGAGACCAGTGTATCATTTAAAAGGACTTTAAGACTTGAAATATGATGAAACTTCCCAGAGAGAATCTCCAAAACCTCTTCAGTCTTTTCAGTATTTTGTCAAATATTAGTTAAAGTTTTCACTTCATGCTTTCTATATGCTTATAAAATGTATACAAACTCATTTTAATGACATTGCAACTTACATGGCCATTTTGAAAAATCTCACGAACAGAATCTAGTTCCCAGAGGATTTGTTTAAACCAGAGTTCATAAGCTGCAATTTTAAAAAAAATCAGTTAGAAAGTTACAGGTGCCTCTTTGACTATCATTATATGGCAGATACTTATAAGACATTGAAGAGTGTAACTTTAAAATGAATAAATCCATTTTGTGCTATAAATTTTAGTCATCTTAATTTTTCAAATTTCTGGTATATTGGATATTTTACTTTATTCTGTATTTTCATTACTATTACAGTGACTCTTCCTAACAGACATATTTGTTTAGGTCTTTTAGGATAACACACACAAACTATTCTCACTGCATGCGTGGACACCTGGTTCTCAGCTTCACCCCTTCACTGAGAGATTAGCAATCACAAGTTTAGATGAAGGACTGTAAGTTCTTATATTTGTAAATCAAGGTTTTGTTGTTGTTGTTTGCTTGGGGGTTCTTGGGTTTTGGCTCTTAGTTATTTACACAACTCTTGGGACTCCTGGCTCAAGGCAGATGAGAAAGCAAACAGCTGAATGACCAAACAGTACCAGTGAATCTTCATGCTAATCACATTGTGAACTGAGAGACCCCTTGTCTTCTAAGTGAGTCAGCCTCACACAGAACAACAAAAATTTAAGGAAAAAATAAACAAATGTAAAATAGATATAATAAAATGATCTGACACTTCTCTGTCATTAATTCATTCATTATTAGTGTTTTCTGATGTTAGCTACCCAGGGAAGTCAGAACCCATTTGAACCAAGGACAAGAACTCATCGAAAGGGAAAAGTATTTGAGTGTGTAGACGAGAGCAGAGCTCCCAGACAGACACATAACATAACACAGAACTGACAACCACACAGCAAGCATTCTTAATATTTGGTGGTCATGAGCCTTTAAACATACATATTTGTGAAAATGTACATGCAATCTCAGCACTCAAGGCCCCTCTGAAGATACAGATTGCTAGCCTGAATACCACTATGCAGAAAATTAGAGATCTGAAAAATATTACCAAATATAAAACTGTGAGTTTTTGCTTAATACTACATTTTTATAAAATTATATGTGTTTGTAGAAACAAAGAAGGAATGGATTGGGGAGGCAGAGGGGAGGTAGGGTGAGGGACTGGAAGGAAAGGAGGAAGGGGAAACCTGTTGAGATGCAAAATAAATGAAAAAATAGTCCATAAAAATTTAAAAAACATAAATGCAAAAACCTTTAACATATTTGTAATAAATTAAAAGGACTTATTTCTGGAAAGTAGGTTTTTCAATGCTCATAAAAACAAAAAAATAGCATGTTATCTTGCAAATCCTCTTTAAAATTTCAAGAGCCAAAAAGTTTCTCCCAAATTCAGAACGAAGCAGGAGTCCCATACTCTAACTGGCAGTAAGGGAACATGAAGATGACCGATGAATGCTCAAAGAGGTTCTTATGAGATTTTATATGACACAGAAATTTCTCAAGTGTACCTAATGAGTATGATTCCTTGGTCTTTTACTACCTTACAGACGAAGTGGCTATTGCTCACTGGTGATGAATCATTACAAAAATAGTTGTTCCCCAACCCTTAGGTCTTACCTTGATGAGTTATAATAAAAAGGTGTTCATCATGGATTTTATTCCCTTTTATCTCACTTTGAAGTTCTTGTGCGTTCAAAATTTTTTCCAACTTTAAATGAGAAAACGAGAAGATTGATTTTGAGATTTTAGATCTGGATTTCAGAAATACACATCTTAGCTAGCAAATGCCATGGCCCTGAAATGAGTGTGATGGGAGTAGACCCATTGTTTGGCCAGCTGCACATCTGCAATGCTTTCCTAGCCTTCCTTCAAAAAGCTCCTGGAAATTCTTACATTTTTATCAATTGTTCTCACAAAACCATTTAAAAAAGAATCAAGATTTTTCATCTGAAATTTTTAAGCTGAATATTAGCCATAATGACCTCCAAATTCTTCGCTGAAAGCTCTCTTATTTACTGGTGATTTCGAAAAAGTTCTGTGTACCTTTATCATTTCTGTTCTGTGATGAGAAATTTGAGGACTTTTTCAGAAGTCTGGGATTCTGACCAGATCTTTTTATACGTACTGAGCAATGCCTGTCTGTCATCTGCATCATAGTTTATCTTTCACAATCTTCTGTCTAAATACAGAACTTTTGGCTCTTGCCTTACCTCTTATGGGGAGGTACATTTCACCCCTTAACTTGCTGTAACAAATTTGAAAGAACATAGATATGTAACAAATAGTTAAGTCCTAAGGTTTGGAAAACTATTGATGACTGAGAAAAGACAGGCAAGGGAACGGCCATGTCAGCCAAAGCTGACAATAGCAATTAACTCCAGTGAAGACTTGCCACCTACCTGTAAGTAGTTCCCATAGATAAGTCCTCCTTTGCTGGCTCTGTTGACACCAGTTTGAGCATCATTGTCTTCTTCACTGTCTTCTACAGATAATTTTTTCAAAGAATATCTGTAGTTTGAGCAAATGATATTAAAAGGGAGCTTGAAGAAACACAGTGACCATAATATAAGCTATTATAATTTTGTCACTATTTCTATTTTGTTTATTAATAAGTGAAGAAAATAGAAATAAGCAAGGTGATTTTTAAACCCAGAAATGTAACTGTTTACAGGCCAAGGTTCTAAAGGCCCCCTCCATTTGAACAGAGATAAGCACTCACCCCACAGTGTTTCCCAAAAATGGGCACCCACTCATGGTACTGAGGTGTCTCAGGAGCACACAAGTTTGCTACACCAGTGACAGCATCTACCTTCCCAGATATTTTAGTGCTGCCTTTTATGTATCCTGATTACCAGCCCTAGCCAATCAGCACTCAGCTTACACTCTTAGCCAGGCTCTCATTTGAACTGGTTCATAGCTGAACCTCTGTAACTGGAAGGTGGATTTGTGTTGGGTACAGCTTGTTTGCTAGAAGAGTAAGCCAAATCAAACCCTCTGACTAGCCAAGTTGTGCTTTTATATCCAACATAGAAGACGACAAATAAATCAATAGACGCCAAGTCAATAGATATTTGCATTTAACTACTTAATTCCAATAAATCTTTTCTAATAGTGTAATGATCCCTAAAGATAATGAGATTATAAACAAGTTTAATCTGTTCAAGTAGGATTGCCTTACATTTTCTGAGGAACAAAAACTGAAATGTCCCTGGAGAAAGAAACAGAACTGCCCAGTGCTGCTAAGAGCCACAGCCAGTCCACGTTAGAGATCGTCTGGCTTAGCTCTTCTCTTATAATCAGCAGCAGGCACAGTGTACTGAACTCAGCTGAAGTATGCCAGTCACAGGGATTCACAGTTCAGACTTGGCTGAGGCATGCCAGTCACAGGAAGGACATACCCATCCACACTGGTGCCTGGTGCAAAAAGAGCAATTACCACCTTCCCACAGTTTTGAACGATATCATCAATGTTTTTTCTATAAATACAACACAGACTGGTCTCATAAATAATGGCTTTGAGTTCCTTTGAGTCAAGACAGAAGCTCCATCATGTGCTCCTAGTCAATTTTGTGGGGCTGTTAGGAACTTGACATGGACAGCATTGCCCATTTATCCCACTCAAAAAGAGATACATCATCATCAGGTTTCTCAGACTAATCAGAAGTTAGTTTCTAGGCTAAGCTGTAACCATAACTGGGTAATATGAAGAAACTGATTTAAATTTTATAGCAACTTCCTCTAGAAACAAAGTTTTTAAATTATAATTTGGAAGACTCTGAAGCTTGTTTAATTCTTTATTTTATATGGTTTAGTAAATTTGAATATTTAATTGATAAGTATTATTGGATAATTAAATAGTATGATACTGGAGATTTGGAAATCACCAAACTGCTCTTCTGTGCCAGTCTTACAAGCCTTGTGTTCTGGCAATGGCCTGATCTTTGCTTATACATAAGATAGGAACCTTAAAGAGGTAAGGGTTGACTGCTCCCTTCATGATGTCCTAGCCCGGAGGGGTCTGAGTCAGAGAACACTCAATTGATCCCATTTATAGACTTGCTTTTTCAGCTAGGTAGGAACTTAGAAGGATGAAAGCTAAATGATTTATTTCACTCTCTTTAAGGCTTTGCATTGTAAAGTGCTCTTCACTTATGGCTCATAATACTAGCACAAAAGGTAAGAAAAGTGATTCTACTCTTTAAATTATAGAAAGTAGATTGTTTAAGAATGAAAGAGTTTTCCTTTTCTTAACATTGCATTATGCATGGTTCTCCTAAGAAGTGTTCATTTAGTATATTTTCCCAAGTCTAGAGGATTCATCCAAAGATTTGGGTAGATGGATGGAAAGTAATTTGCTTCTTCCACAGAAAATGGATAAAAAGATGGAGAGTAATTTGCTTCCTCCACTCAGGGTGGATAGCTATTGCTGTAACCCCTACATACACTCATTCTTGATAATGTTTGCCATAGCAACCACATCAAATTTATGAGTAGCTATAGTCTAAACAATACTGAATTGTTTTTCTACATGGATAAATTCACTAGTTTATGTCTACTTCAGACTAGGGATTTTTTTCTTCATTGTCCTTTTTATTAATATGGGAGGAGGAAAGTGGAACCTTGTGCACACTAGGCAAATTCTCAGTTTTAGAGCCACTTGCCCAGTCCTCTTCATTATTCTATTTTAAACTTTTACAATTATCAATATGGATCATCCAGATAAATTTTGTAATCTCTCTGTCTCCCCCTGCTTCCTCCATCCCTCCCTTTCCATCTCCTCCCTTCATTTGCTTTTCAGTACTAGGGATGGAACCAAGTGCCTCATGCATGCCCAGCAAGTTTTCTGTCCTGAGCTTTATCCCACCTCCTATAGTAGAAATTTTCTACACCTCTTGGGAAAATACACTCTAACTCAAAGTAGCAGATCTAGTGGTGAAACTTAGGCATTGTGACAGATTCATGAAATATGTGGGTAATCTTTGGGTAATCTTTGGAACTCATATTCCAAATGCATGTAAATAAATATGCATGGATTTCTGAGAAAACTTGCTAGAGAGGAAACTGAGGTGCATACTTTGAATATTCAAATTTTAACTAATTATCAACCAGAATGACCCAAAACCATCAACTGGAAATCATGGAGACAAAACATTCTTCCATCCTGGTATATAGTAACAGAATGTCAACAATGTGAAACAAAGAATTTTTTCTTTTTATTGAAAATGGACTTTTTCCCTCACATGATATACCCTGGTAATGGTTCCCCCCCCTTTACTCCTCCAAGTTACCTCCCACCTCTCTTCCCATCTGGATTCATTCCCTTCCATCTCTCATTAGAAAACAGACAGGCTTCTAAGGGATAATATAATAAGATAAAATAAAAACTAACACATTGGAATTGGACAAAAAATAAACAGAATGAAAAAGAGGCCAAGATAAGGCATGAAAATCAGAGACCCACTTGTTCCCACACTCAGGAATCCCACAAAAACACTAAACTGGAATCCATAATATATACACAGAGTGCCTGGTGCAGACCCGTGCAGACCCTGTGAATGTTGCTTCAGTTTCTGAGTTCATATGGGCTTTGATAAAAAACAGAGAGAATCTTTAGAGCAAAGCATTTATCTCTAGATCTTCTTTTGAGATTTCAAGAGAACAGACATGATCCTGTGAGAGCAGAACCAGGAAAAGTATTTGCAGAAAGTTGTGTTGGGCTAGATTTAGACACTAAATATAAATTGCACAAATCACTCTTCCAGTCACCGTGGCATTCCTTTAACAAACACCCTTTTACTCTATTATGTACTTCATTTTCTACATTTACTGCATCAACCTCCCAAGCTAATTGTCTGCTTAAAAAAATTACATATTGTGGCAGACACGAAAGCACCAAGCTAATAGGAGTGCTGTTCTTAACTTTAAGAAGCTAATTATTCTGAAAGATGTTGAAATTTCTGTTCACATATTTCATAGGAACCCTTGGCTACTCAGATCTTTGATATGATCTGATGATTGATTGATTGGTTGGTTGGTTGATTAATTTGTTTTATTTACTGACTGAGGAAGTGCCTGACCATGTAACCCATGTCGTAGATTGGAGGGACTACTGTTTCTGCCTCCAGAGGCCTGGGATTAAAAGGATGTGGCCATCCATGTTTAAGTGCTTATTCTTTTTGTTATGTGTGTGTTTGCATGCATGTATGTATGTACATCACACAAATGCCTAGTGCCCAATAAGGTCAGAAAAGAGCATCAGATTCCCTAGAACAGACTCTTTTGATCAGCCATGTTGGTGCGGTGAAGCAAACCCATTTAAAGATCACCAAGTACTCTTAACCATTGAGTCATCTCTCCAGCCTCCCCAAGTACTTATCCATTTTTACTTTCCCTTGTTTGCTTAGTGTCCACACCTCCTTCCCCTTTCAGGATATCTACCTAGAAACAGCAGTCAGATAACTTCCCAGGTCTACTGAGGCTGTGCTTTGGAGGAAAGCAAACTCATGTCTACTTACATCACAAGGTGTAACACATTTAGGAATTAAATAACTGCTTTTTTAAAGCTTTAATCATTTCTAGACATGGAAGAATCAGTCATTCAATACACTTGACAGATTAAATCAAGATTTATTGAAGATTAAATTGAAGTACTTTTCTGTTGGTGGTGTTTTCTTTTATTTCCAAAGAATAAAAATCCTTTAACTAGGTTTTAACACAATCAGACAAGATGAGCTTACCAATATCTCATTAATGAAGCCCAAGAATGGACTTGCTTCGTAGTAACTGTGGTGAACTGGAGAAAAAACAGTTCAAGAGGAGGAAATTGTGTTGCTACTCAAGTGCAACTGTGGGACTTTTTCTTTATTACTTTCCAAAGGAAAGAATGAGGAATGTTGGGAGGATGAGTGCTGCTGTAGCTTACTTTAGCAATCCTGTAAATAAGGAAACCAAAGGCCTAGGACGACAAGGCAGCCATCAAGGAACCAGGATCCCACCCTCTTAAGAATGTGATTTTCTGGTCTCTTGGAGGGTGAGCTGGGGACTTTAGGTAGGTATGCTGCCTCCATGCTAATGTGCCCCATCCCTATCATCTGTGCTCAAGGACTCAATCTTTAACACATGCTTCTGAACATTTTCCAATAGGATGCTTTCTAAGATGCCTCCAAGTAGTGATCTCTCCTCTTCAGTGATTTCACCAACGTGTTTCCTATTCAAGTTCTTAGCACTTATCAAATGTGATTGTTATCATTGAGTTCTGTGCTTGCCTTGTTCAGGAGGCTGGATTTCTACTACATAAGAATTGTATGTCACTTCTTTTTATACCTTCTGAACTCAGCATAGATATGTAAGGACACAGCTAACATTTGTCAACAACACTGAACCTTCCATTTGCCCTTTGCACATTGGAATCACAGATGTGTTCTGGTGTAGCAGAAAAAATACTTACCACTGTGTGGAGCCTGGAAGACAGGCAGGGGAGCTACAGAAAGTCAGAAAGTGAGAACAAAGCCACGGAGATTTGTTTACATCTGATCTTTGTCTACAGGGATGCCAGTAAGTGTACAACTTTTGATTTTCAGTGAAAGCTATCTCACAGTTATTTTGGTTTGGTTGGTTGGTGCTGTTGTTTTCATTATTGTTTTATCTCTTGATTGTCACTTTGCCCAAAATACCCATGAAACCAATTTAGAAAGAGAATGAGTTAAGTTTAGGACATACTTTAACAGTTTCACTCCAGAATCCTTGCTGCATTG